TCTGAAACTAGACTATTCTAGTCTAATTAACTTAGAGCTTGATGAATTACATGTGCAATTACAAAGTTGTTAAGGGAAGCTAAAAGCCTTAGCTAGACATAACCTAACACTGTGTTTCATGAGAGTGGTGGCAATCGACCCACATCGCCTGCAAACAACCACTTTAGTTATTTTGAGCTTTATAAATATATTCGCCCACCCCAGCAGAGTTTTACCCACACTTGAAGGCCACCCTGCCAAGGCACTTGGGCCCAAAATGTCAACTTGATTTGGGCTTCTTTCTTTGGGTTTTTTTCCATATAAGCCCGTGTGGAAAGCCAAGTTGGACTTTTTACAAAATGGTCAGTTGAGATTTTTGATAAATTCCTAAATTGGTGTTTAAAATATCTAAATATTAGTTTGAAAATTACATGGGCCGAGTAGGCCCGAACTAAAAGCCTGAAATAGTATAGCCCGTGAGTAAGGCCTGGACTTAGCATATTTCATATAGGACTAGCCCGACCTGGCCCGATCACTTCCTAGGGCTATAAAAGCCTGTCAATAGTAGGGTTTGGGCTCACAACTCCTAGAGTTGAGCTAGCCCGGCCCGACCGGACCCTTTTTACAGGCATACCTATGTTTAAAGAAAAATAAAAGAAAGAAGAACTCATCAACTAAAGATTCAAATGAACTCTTTGAATGCAAACCCATCATATACTCAATATAGGGTACATAGTTCCAATGGAGTTTCCCCATATATACTCTTGCCTTAAACTGATTAAACAGGTAAAACAATTAATATGAGAAATGAATGTGAATTTAAAGGTGTAGGGGTCTTTTTATTCCAGCAACTTGACGAATGGGCTTAGGCTGCCAAAAAGAGAAACATGTGTGAAATTGCCCCTTGAGTCTGAGTTCAAAGATCATGCCCCAAGAGTTTTTCGAAAGGGTAGCTGAGCCTTAGGAAACATCTTGGTCTTCTTCACCAACGAAACCAACAGTTGCTTATAGATAAATTCTTGGGCTTGGCATGAGAGCTTGTGGCATGGGAGCTAAGTATTCGTGAGTTTAGCATGAGAGAGAGAAGGCTTGGGGTTTCCTATGAGGGATAGAGGCTTTCAGAGAGATGAAGCTTGCTCTCTAAATCTGTGTTGTGGAAAGATAGGTAGAAGATGAAAGCATGGATGGCTTTAGCATATTTCCAGCAACTTGACGAAAGCTTCGTCAAGCTCATGGGCGATTTGACAGAGGAGAAAAATGGAAGCAATGGAAGAACAAGGCTTGAAATCGAAGGGTTCTAGAGATGAGAGATGATGCTTGCTCTCTCTGGATGTGGGTTTTGAGAGAGAGGAAGAGGAATGGAAGAACAAAGCATGAAATTGAAGGATTCCAGAGTGGATGTTTGCCTTCAATTCGTTCTTGTTTGTTATGTCCCTTGTGAGTTCTTTTGCTGGGAAGAAAGTGTCTCCTTTTATAGGGGCTAGAAGACTCGATTTTATAAAGCCACCCTATCCCTTTTTCCTTCACTTTCTTCCATTTATCTAGTTTGGTGAAATTTCTCTAGCCTGAACCCATAGGCACGCAGCTTTTTGGGGTTCCAAGGTCCTCAAGCAGCTGAACTTTTCATGTGGGTGAGGTGCCACCCACTTTTGCTTCTTGTTTTCTCACAAAAGCTTGAAGAGGAAAGAATGGGTAAGGGTGCTTGGTCAAAAAGGTGATCAGCACATGGGTTTGCTTGCTTTTGTTGATTTGGCTTTGAACTGGTTTTAACAGAGCATGACGTTGGATATTTTATAAAATGCTGGGCTGGGCTGTTTTGTTTCCAGCGATTTGTGAGTTCCCTTTGATTTCGTCAGACTGCTGGAACCTTTGGCTGATGTGGGATTTTTTATGGGCTATGGCTATTTGACATTTTTTAAAGATGTTTGGGCCTTTTCTTAAGACGATGGGCTATTGGGTTTTCTCTCATGCTTGCCCATATGTTTGGACTCAAAGAATGGGCTTGAGTTTTGGTGCTCTAAGCAACCCGGGACTTCCATTTCTCGGCCCATCAATGGGCCTCATGACAATATATTACCATCCATACCATAACCCACTCAAGCAAGCCCCGGGCATCTTGCGTGGCTTGGGCCCTCTTAAGCTTGTAGCGTGGCATGATGCTTATTTGCTTGGCGTGACATGTGTGCAAAGCGTATATGACGAACTTTTGCGTGCCCAAATCGGGTTTCTTCTTGATAAGGTATCGCATTGGGCCGAAAATTTATTTGGGCCGAACCGTGAATTTTTTGGGCCTCAACAAAAGGATTACTGCTAAGGCTGGTGTCAATTTGTTATGTTCAATTTCCTATTCTTTCCTATTGTTTCATATAATTTATTAGATTTTTATTTGCGCTTAAGTAAACCTTGACACAGCAAGTCTTGTATCTTTTGGCGGGTCGGGATTAGGTAATTAGGCTCATTGGGCCAGGCCAGCCTGTTTAAAGCTCATTTATTAAATTATATATTTTTTAGAAATATTACATAATATTATTATATTTATGTATTAAATTCAAGTCTATTTATTTTCTGTAATAGTATATATTAGAAATTAATTTTTTTTTCTTTATATATAAAATAATAATTTTGCTTTTCAAGTTTCAATTTTTAAAACTCAAACAATTATCTAGTGGCCTCTTTTTTTCAATAAATAATAAATCTTGTTAGTATATAAATAATTGTAAAAATATTTAAATGAAGTTGTAAAAAATATTTAAATGAAGTTGTAAAAAAATTAAAAAAAAAAAAAATACAGTACATATGTCAAATTTGGCGTGAGCCCATATCGTCCCGTTTAGTGGCCCGACATGAGCACACATCTCTTTCTATAAAAAATTATATATATATATAAAATAAAAAAAAGATGTCTAAATTAAGTTATATTTTCTATAAAGTAAAAATTTATAAATTTGTTGAACGGAAGAAACAATGATGTCATGAAGGAAAAAGGCCCCATTTGTTTTAAGCGCTCCTCAGTTTTAAGGAGCCAAGCTCTTTCCATGTATCCATATCAAAATAATGAACAAGCAGGAAAACTTTTGATCTTGTAGTAGGATGACACATGTCTCCAGACCAAGACTAAGCATACAATCTGCAATCTATGAAGAAGAAATGGTGGAATTACATATGTACTGTCGGATTGAATGGAGCTCAAGGGCATATTACCACAAAGTCAAATATATGTGACATTGGATCACAGCAAGTAAAACCTAATTATTTTTGGGGCTGAAGACTGCATTAAGAGTAGGCACTATCTAGGGCCTAACTCTTCCGCCACAACCTGTCAGTTCCACCACATTATTTGACGATTAGTTGATAGAACTTCATCATTTTGGTCATCAGCTGTAATTTTGGGCTGCAGCTTCCATATGTGGTTCCGTTATACGTCACTGCACACTGGAGTTCAGCAAGCCTGCAATCTGCAAAAAGAGAATATTATAGTTAATAACATCATCAGTAT